TGTGACTCTCTAGACCGGGGTGTCAAACTAGCGGCCTGTGGGCCGGATGCATCACATACAGGCCACACCCACCCCAGCTCTGCAAATGGGAAAAACTTCGCAAAACGCCCAGTGACAGCAATGCAACACAGTGGGTTTGACACCCGTGCTTTAGACATTGCTAATTACAATTTCTTATTGGCAGGGGTGGTTAGATGGTGTTCATCAATATCTGAAGGGCTACCAGTTCTTCTCTCCTGTTCTAATGAAATATGTGAAAGCTCAAGACAGAAATATTACATTAAAAACATTTTCCCGAGTATAAGTATTCCCACAATCTGCTAAACATCCTCCTGTTTTGTGTGCATCTGTTTAATCAAAATCTTAAGATTTACCCATGCTATCCAAGCCCACAACAGTCATCAACCTAGGTTTATGCAAATCAAAATGTGTAATTTACAATAAGCTTTTAAACTCAGAATTATGGCTGCTCCAGGTTGAAAGAATGTGGTGTATCAATAACTTTGATTATAAGAGCCAAACACAATTAGAAAAAGTAGCAAATGCTCCTACTTTTTGGCTTAATCTATTTTTCATATTACTTGAATCTTTTATCTTTTTTATCCCATATCCTTTCCAAATGAAGGGATTCAACAAATTCCCAAGGGTCACATTTTCTTGACTTATACTAAGAAAGCTTGTCTGATTGATCAGTTGCTTCGGTTTACTCTCCCAACTTTCAATGGGGATAAAGAGAAAATCTAAAAGTTACCTGTCGACCTTGCAACCATACATATTTCAGATCATCATAAACTTTTCCAGTCTGGTCCAGACATGTAAAAAACCCTCTGGAAAAATAAAAGAGGCAGCAGCATTTAGAACCAGAAAGAGACTGAAGGTTTCCTTAGCTTGGTTTCCAAAAGTATTGTACTACAACTCCCAGAATTCCTAGCCAGCAATTTAAACCTCTCTGAGAAAGAAAGGAGGAACTAAACAGCAATTCCCAGAAACAGCATTTAGCAATAATTTTTCAAAGGAAGGCCGCTGTAGCTGGCTTCCTCAAGTAGCAAGAGAAATAAGTTATCTTAGTAAATTCTGGATACTATTGAGAAGGAGAAAGAGCTGAACCATATATTATGTCACCATTTCCTTCTCCATGTTTTGCTGAAGAAAACATCTTTAGTGATGTTCATTAAAAAAAACACTAATCACAAGGAAAATATAAATTAAGGTTAGCATTAAGGTTAGTTAATCTAACCACAGCTGGATCTTATATATGATACATCATGAATCCAGAGTATGCTCTTCCCCAAACCCCAAAAACTTTAACCTTAGACTGTCTACTATTGACCTCACCCCTTTCCTAAGAGGTCTGTAGGGGGCGTGCATAAGCGCACCATCGTGCCTACCGTCCCTGTCCTATTGTTTCTCTTATTCTTTTATTTTTCTTATATGTACCCATTTCATGTATTCACAACTATGTATACACTTGTACTTATTATCTTGTAAACAATTGACAAATCAAATAAATAAATAAAAATAAATAAATAAATAAATGCTGGATATTAATGCCTATTATTCACAAGTAATAATCGGGAATTGTTCAGAACTAAGAGTTACAAGCCTACAGTGGCTGCGCTATATAGGAGCAGGATCCCCTCATCTTAAAAAGGTCTCTTTCTGCATCCCTTCCATTTTAAAAGAGTTTGTTTAAAAATACCAACAGTAGCAAGCATACGGTTCCTATTCCTTTCAAATATGCTTTCTAAATAATTTAATAGTAGGTTATATTCGCATCACGCCTGACCATCTGCAAATTCACACGGCACCCTGAATTATAAACCAACCGCATCGGCTTGGCTTGCATTGCACACGAAACCTAAGAGATGCGTTTCACAGATTGAAGCTCACCCATGTTCCTTATCATGGGAATGCCGTAACCAAAAATCCACCACCGAGTCCAGTTCTTGAGAGATCCGTCTCTGCCAGCTGTGCAGCGTTTTCTGCCAGTCCATTTCTGCTGCTTGCTTGTAGTTTAGCTCTTGATAAATGCAGAGATCTAACTATTGTTGCCGCTGGTGAAGCAGATCGAGGTATCAGCACATTCTCTCGTATGTGACTCATGTTATTTTTTTTTTTTAAATCTAGCAAAAGTTTTGCAACCAATTAGTGAGTCGCTGATCATATGATTTGCCTGAGTCACCTGATCCAAGCCCAAAGGAATGGGGGAAGACTCTTGATTTTTCTCCTCCCTAGAATTTTTTTTAACCCTAAAATTGCTATAAATTGCTCCCGAGCCTGGCAGAATAATAAGCAAACAACAACAACCCATAACTGCTGTCTTGCACTTTCAATTCCCGGGCCCGCTGATGAATATAAAACTTTCCCTTCTAAAATCTACAGAACTGTTAATCGATTCTTTGCATTTAGCATTTAAAAACACTTCGGGAATCCGTACAGAGTATCTGATTACCCAGCTCTGGGCATCAGAGAATCAGAGAAGCAATGAAGCTTTCCTCCACTGACTCGTCGCCGCGATTCCTTGTGTGTAAATCAACAAAGCGTTTTCCACTTCGAATGGCCGAGTTTATGGTGACAGCCGGCAGGGTTCCCCCCCCCCCCCCCCCCCCCCCCCCCCCCCCGTGGGGAAAAAAAAAAAGCCCCTCCCCCCCCCAAGGGCGGGGTTTAGGGGGCAGCCCGGGAGGGCCCCCCCCCCCCCCCCCCAGTCTAACATGAAGCTGGTGAAAACAACAAAGATGGTCGAGAAACGGGCAGATTTGTGGAGAATATCTGCGCAGACATCTCTCCCTCCCTCCCTTCTCTCTCTTTTGCCTTCCTGAACCCTTTACGCAGCTGTGCTCCACTGTGGGCTTGAGCTCTGCGGAAAAACAATGTATCATATTCATCTGAAAAAAACAAACAAAAAAAAACCAGAAATCCTAGATTTAAACTGAACCTACCACTCCCAAGTAAATAAATTGGGGGGGGGGAGAGAGAGAGACCATCCCTGACTGCGCCAATAGTGTCTGGGCAGACAGAATTCCTCCCCACATTAAAAAATGCAGAAAAACAATATTTTCCTTTGCACATAGACACACTAAAGCAAATAAATAAACCCAAGGCAGAAAGCACTTCTGTAATGGAAGTTAAAAACAATTTGCACATGCACCACGATGCATGATAGATGTACTTATGGGTTGAATTTTGTTATGCTTTTGTAGTATGAAGAGCTGGAACATCTCATAATTCTTCCTTCTTGGAAAGACATGCATGCATTTCTGATTCAGGATGAAAAAGAAATCTCTCTTGCCTATACAATTCAAGCCACCTCCCTTTTATTTACTCACTATTTAATACACAGTATAACATTTAAAAGGCATATTAATTTATAAAACCTATGGAAATCAATGGAGTAAAATCATCAATTATCTCATCTAAATATAATCAAAGTTATCTGGGACAGAGTTTGAATCCCTTGTCCATTCTTACATTACCCAGTTGCAATGTACTAACTACGGTATAATGTCAGAGGAAAGTTCTATTCTTTTAGAAAAAGCCCCATTCTAAGGAAGAATTGCACAGAGGCAGTCCTCAACTTATTGCCATAATTGAGCCCAAAATTTCTGTTGCTAAGCAAGGCAGTTAAGTGAATTTTGCCCCATTTTACAACTTATCTTGCAACAGTTGTTAAGTTAGTAACACGGTTATTAAGTGAATCTGGTTTTCCCACCGACTGCTAGTCAGAAGTGGCAAAAGGTGATCATATGACCCCAGGACAACTGTCATAAATATAAATCATTTGCCAAGCATCTGAATGTTGATCACACGACCATGGACATGTTACAATCAGTCATAAAAACCCTCGTAAGTCATTTTTTTCAGTGCCATTGCAACTTGGAATGGTCACTAAATGAACTGTTGTTAAGTCGATGACTATACTGTACTGTATATTCATCTCCCTGTCCTTACCCCGTTGCTGACATTTAATACGCACTAGTGAACTCAATCATGGTTCATTGCTTTTTCTTGATAATCCAAATGAGTGGCCCAAAGCAACTGCCTCCATTTGCCCAAGGGGGAGCCAAGGCCACCCAAGGTTTTGCTGTCCTTGGCTTTATGCATAATAGGAGACAACATGGATAGCACTGTGGACCTTCCTTCAGATCTTCTTACCATCCTTCGCTGCCCCTACCTCCCCCGATCTAGGAGTGTGGGGTGTTCTGTTCTCCAAGGAAGGGATTTTGAAACAAGTGACCAGGAGGCCATCATTCCTGGCCCTGAAAATCTGCCTAATGTCTCAGTTGGCCCAACGGCACACTATTTAGAACACAGATTGGTTCCGCCAAGTGACAAAAGAAAGTACAGGTAGTCCTTGACTTACGACCACAATTGAGTCCAAATTGTCTGTTGCTAAATGAGAAATTTGTCAAGTGAGTTTTGCCCTGTTTTACGACTTTTCTTGCCACAGTTAAGTGAATCACTACAGTCGCTAAGTTAGCAACACCGTCGTTAAGCGAATCTGGCTTTCCCATTGGCTTTGCTTGCACAAAGGTGATAGTCACAAAAGGTGATCACATGACCCTGCTGGGACCCTGCAACCGTCATAAATATGAACCAGTTGTCAAGCTTCTAAATTGCATGACCTGCAACAGTCATAAGTGTGAAAAAACGGCCATAAGTCACCTTTTTTTCAGTGCCCTTGTAACTTTGAACAGCCACTAAATGCACTGGTGTAAGTCGAGGACTATCTGTAGTCTGCACTTGTTCAGGAGCTATTTAAACGTCCTTCCCCCTCTCAGAGCTCCTGGAGGAAGTCCTGATACTGAGGCCTGAAAGGTGGTTGTAACCAGCCTGGAATACCGCCTCTCTCGCAGACAGGAAAATCCAAGCGGACTCCTCCTTTAGCCAATTGCTCCTTTCAGGCTATCGGCTGCTGGGAGAAGAAACTCTTTTCCCGCCGAAGGAGAAAAATTTGGTCAGGGAGCCGCCGCTCAGCCCCGAGTCCCAACAGCGGCAGGCGTGGCTGATTGCGCGCGCTCGCAAGCACCTTCTCTTGCTCCTGGGAGGAAACTGTGAGGAACGACCTCCTTCGGCAGTACCTTCCCTCCCTCGGAGGTTCAGGAACGAAAAGGCGGACGGGTGCTCTCGGAGGAAGAGGGGGGAGGAAGGGGGCTGAAAGAAATCGGGATTTAAACATAAGGTGCCCCCAATTCTCCTCTAGGCTACCGATTTCCCGCTGCCGTCGAGAGACGAGGGGGGGCGGATTCCGGGGGAAGCCCCCTCCTCCCCGGGCCAGGTGGCAACGCCTGAGCCCCCAACTTCTCTCTTTTCAGGTTCTGGCGGAGACGCCCCATGTTCAGACGTTCACACCTCAAAATCCTGCTTATTGGGAATTCAGGGTAAGCCACCGACAGCACGAAGCTTTTTGGGAGGGAAGCGGGCGGATATCAAACCCCCCCCCCCCCTTAAAGACAAAAGTCCGGAGAGCGTGCAGAACCGGACGCCCAGGCTGTGTTTGCCAAGTGGGTGTGTAGGCTGAAGTAAAGGCACCTGCTGCCTGCCTCTCAGGGAAGCCGCAGCTCTTGGAAGCTGGAGGGGGAAGCTGAGGCCACCTCCCCTATCCTTGTGAAATGGACCTGAAGACTGAGGGCTCTGTACTCTAAGCACAGCCTGAACCTGTCTGGCAGACCTTGTCTTCTACCAGTAGTCCTCGACTTACAGCAGTACCTTTAGTGATGGTTCAAAGTTATAACAGCACTGAAAAAAGTGACTAATGACCGTTTTTCACACTTACGACCGTTGCGGCATCATAGTCAGGTGATTAAAAACCATGGCAGCGTGATCAAAATTCAGACACTTTTGTCAACTGGACTGTGACAGTTTGCGGTGTCCTGGGGTCCTGGGTTCACCTTTTGTGACCTCCTTACAAGGAAAGTCAGTGGGGAAGCCAGATTCATTTAACAACCAGGTTACTAACTTAATGACTGCGGTGATTCACTTAACAACGCTGGCATGTAAAGTTGTAAAATGGAATGAAATTCACTTAACAAATGCTTTCACTTAGCAACAAAAAATTGGGGCTTCATTGCAGTCTTAAGTAAGTCGAGGACTACCTGTATATGTTCATAACATTGTCTTCCTCTCCCGATCCCAGCTGAGGCAGGTTAAAATAGACTTTCATCAGATTGTGCAAAACAGGGGTGTGCCCGATAATTCTGTCTGCCCATGGATGTTATTGGGGCACAGCCCTCAAACTCAAATCTGTCCAGAAAGAAGCGTTTTGAGTGGACAGAGGAGGAAAATGGCAAGACCCACAGAAGTAGAAAAAACGTAGTAAATTGGGTTGCAGATGAAGAAAAGATGGGTTGCTGATGGAAAGACTAATAGCACCGGTTAAGGCCGACTCTTTTGAATGGTTGATGACATCATCTACAACTAAGTTTCTGTGATCCCACATTGTATTCAACCATTCACCCCAGAAGATATAAATGCTTCATGGTATGACTAAGTTGAGAGCCAGTTTGGACTCTAGTGGTTAAGGCACCAGGCTCAAAACCTGGGGACTGTGCATTTCAGTCTTGCTTTTGGCATGAAAGCCAGCTAGGTGACTTTAGGCTAGTCATTTTCTCTTAGCAAAACCTACCGCATAGGTTTGTTGCTGTGGGATAAAATAGGAGGAAGGAGTATTTAGGTGTGTTTGTCACCTGGAGTTATTTATAAAAATAAAATAAAATAAAATAGAGGGAAATAAATGAAGAAAGGTGGATGATGGGAAGATTGATGAGCCACTGGACATGTGCCACATGGGAAAAAGGGAGCAAGGCAACCCACCTGGCATTATTTGCCCTTTGAGTCCTTTCTGGAGTAGAAGAGGAGCAACTAAATGACCTCACCCGCAGTGTTGATGAGGATTCATCCTTTCCAATTAAAAGGCATACACTTTTGTGAGCTACTGCTCACTTCATCAGATGCATAGAGTGGTTAGACTGCTGTAGGATTTAAACTGGAATGAGGAAGGAAGTGGGAAGATAATTATGCAGATACAAGGTGAGATCAATTGTAAGTATCAATTAACTGCTGTGTTGAGTTAAGAACCTTTGTATTTGTTGAAAGTTTGGGAAATAGCCCAAAATCTTTTGATGTGAGCTTAGCAATCTCTTGCTCAGTTCTGCTGTTCAATATTTCTTTTTCTTAGAATGCTTGTAGTGAGATTGCTAATGAGTGTCCTGGGAGGCTGAAATAATCATCTGGTACTTTGTTCATCAACAGAATTAATGAACACAACATGACATCAGAACTCAAAGTTGTATTCATTAATTATTTTGCACAAAGTTTGCCCTATGTGCTATTGGAAATGTGGAATTGTGCCCCAATTGACTCTGACTAAATGGAGGGAGGAATCACATGAGTTGAAAATATTATACCTGGCAATTCTTATCAGCCCCATACAACATGGTAATCCACCAGAAGTGATGAGAATATAGTTAAAAGCATGTAGACTGCAGGGGTGCCAAAGTGGCCAGATAAGTTGTGCTTAGGCCACGCCCACCCCGGCTCTGTGAATGGGAAAAATGTTGTGAAATGTCACGTGACAGCAACATGATGCTGTGACTTTGACACCTGAGATATAGAGGGTATCAGTGAAAGCAGAGAGGTTTCAGTTTTTCATAACAAATTTAACAGTGAAAGAGGAGAATTTTCAGGAAAACTAGTCTACAGCTCTGCAGCAGTGCCAAATGTTTTTAGGATATTCCCTGAATTTCCTCTCATCTGTTACACTGGTTGGCAAAATTAGGCACGAATTTGTTAGTCCCATGCTCCTTTTCATCTTCTCCCATTTAGGATTTGAAAGGCTACTTTCTTCTCATAATCAATGATCACACATCTTTCAAAGAAATTTTTGGTTTACTTCTTAGGAATTAAGTTTGGCATCCTTCCTTGAACCTTTGAGCTCTGCTTATGTAGGTACTTGCCGTTCTTTGTACAAATCAGTGTGTGTGCTGTGTTTAAGCTCCCTAATGTTTAGAAGATTTTATTTTGGGAGGGTTGAGTTAAATTACATGCTTGTTTCTAGCAGCAGCAGCAGCAAGTTATTTTGAAGAATGCCAAGAATCTAAAGGCCAGCTCAAATAGCTATGGTGATGCTTTGGAGAGTTATGGTATCCCAGGGGAAGAGATGTGAATATGCAAAATTCATCATTACAATAAAAACCCTCACATTTGGAGTGTAGTGGGACTACAATACTTTGAATTATCAACAGTCCAAGCTGGAAATCCTCCTGTTTGAGAAAGCTAAAGTGGAACATGCTTACCCATAAATATGTCCCTTTACTATAGGACTAGAGTACAATAGTATATTGAGGGTGAAAGACTGTAACTACTTATCTGTGACTAATAAGAGACTGATTTTAACTAAATTTACTTCAAAGAAGAATTTAAGTTTAAAATTTTACTGATCATAGAGACAAATAACTGGTTTGGGTGCTAAAATTCCTTGAAATCCTAATGGGTCTTTCTTAAAAGTACTTAAAGTGGCATTTAAAAATGAGTTGATTTCTGAAAAAAAATCTATCTCCAAGAACATTTCTTGCACTAAGATGCAATTGCTACTCCTATTGAAATAAATAGGGCTCCAGAAAATTTAAATTTAGCTGGACCATATCCTCCTTTTAGCAGAAAGTTTACAATATTGATAAAAGAGATTTTGGTATGTATTTGGTACTATTCATCATGAAATGTAATGAGATGTAACAATATAACAATAAAACATAAATGTATTAAAATATCTTTTGGTTTTGGTGGGACAGGAAGAAACATAGTTAAAGTTATATTTAATGCTTCATTCTCAGAGAAAGCAGTAATTTTTTTTAATAATGAATTTTTTTTCAGGTGAAGTATGCTTTAAATTATTCATAATTTCACAAAACCTGCTTTTCAACTAAGCTTTTCTGAATAGATTTGGTTTCCTTCTTCTGCATCTGATTTTGCTATTGTAATTTGGCTGTTGCAGTATTATATACATCTTTCTTAAACTAAAAAAATCTTTTTTTCAGATAAGAGCTATATTCTATGTAAAACAGTGGCCCACAACCTTTTCGGCAGCGGGAACCAGTTCTGTGGAGAAGTTTTTCCACGGACTGGAAGACGCATTATTTTACATGCTGCCTGTATCCCGCAGATGGGGCTTCGCTTGTTTGCACCGATGGCTGGCACGCCACAGACCGGTGCCAGTCCCTGGACTGGGGGTTGAGGACCCCTGATCTAAAACACTTTGTAAAGAAATGTTATTTTTGACAACCTGATTTAACATATTCTTTCTTACGTTTTATCAGACATTCCCTCTGCAAGTCTTCCCCAAATCATAGCCTCAAATCTTTGAAATTATGAAGTTATGCTAACTGGGATTATGAGTAATCATGAGAAGTAGCTTGGGGAGGCTCAAGTTTCTATATTTACTATATATTTATATTTACTCATTGCACTTGGAACCCAAAACATATGTATCTCTCAATTTTATCCCTACAGTTTTCTGAGGAAGGTTGCTTGAAAACAATTGGCTTATTGGCAGTTTCAGTAAATCCAGCAGGATATTCGGCCTTTCTCCCCACTGGGCCTCATTCAATGGGCCACAATTCCTGTGATCATAGCACTCTTGAATCTTCATACAACACAGCATGGGAGTCTGGGAAATAATGTTTTTCCTTGGGAGGATGGGTAACTGGTCTGCTCTCAGGATCTGATGCCAGTGTTGCCTTCTCCACAGGGTGGGCAAATCTGCCCTGATGAACCAGTATGTTAACAGCCGCTTCAGTAGCCGCTTCAGAGCCACCATTGGAGCGGACTTCCTCAGCAAGGAAGTACACATTGATGGCCGCACCCTGATAGTGCAGGTAGGACTGATACAAGGCGGACTACTGACTACCCTTTGATACGCTTTGATCAATGTTAATGTTCTCTTCCCATCACTGAATAAGCCAGCTTTGGTGTCACCAAGCCTATGCTTTGTGGGAAACACTATATAGTCAAAAGAGAATCTTGCATATAACCCCTCACACACAAAATGGTACCAGCAAGCCAGACTAAATATCAAAAAATGATAAGGGGTAAGAAGAAATGCAAGTAAAAAACTATAGTTTTGGGGGAAGGGGAAGGATCCCACAATAGTCCCATAATTAATTGGGTATTCAATGTGTTCACAGTAGTGACTGTTGAACTGTGGATGGCAGAAAATTTAAAAGTTAAAGCTCAACTTTTTTGTTGTTTTGTGAACTGGGAAGCTCCATATTAAATATTTTTGTGGAAAGATTCCACTTGTCTCAATTTGTAAGACAAAAAGAAAATGCGCTATACATTATGACTCTGTGACCTTCATCAGAAAAGGCATGTATATTATCAGAACAGATATCCACATTTTATCAGATACCTCTAATATACAAAAGTGTCCTCCCTGTAGCATTGTTTTGCCATTGGAAATATTCTTCAGCTGCTAGATGTACTGTAGATATAGAATCAATAGTAAACGTACATGCTTCCTGCTTCCTTCATTTTCTTATACACAGTATGGCAATCTCAAGTGATAACCCAATTCTTGGAAACTTCAGTTTTAGTATCTACTAGCTTAGCTGGCTATGCTGGCCGTGGCACATGGAAGTTATGATATACCACCTCAGGAAGTTGGGTCTACTTAAAAGTGCTTAGTTTACCCCAAGGGCTTTATAGCTGTCAAAGCAAAGGAAGCAGTTCAAGCAAAGCTTTCATTGCATGTGTTGTAACTATTCTCTGAGCTAACAGTAACAATTGCCCCATGCCAGATTTTATCACTAAATATCAAAACTTGGAACCACAAGCTAACATTTCACTCATTTTTAAAAATATAGAGAAAGCTAGAGCATTCAAAAAAGGCGTAACGTTCCTAAACTAAATATATCATCAGCTAATTGTTTTGAGGTCTAGCTTAAGGGTGTCAAACTTGTGTCGTCATGCGACCTATCACAACTTTCCCACCTTCGCTAAACCGGACATGGGCATGTCCAGTGCGACACATCCAGCCCGCAAGCTGCGAGTTTGACAGCCCTAGTCTAGCTTGACCAGTCTAAGTGTATGGGACCTTTCAAAAAACCTTTTCGTTCTGCATTAAAATGTTCATGGTAAAGACAATTTAACTCATCCTGTAACGATGCACTTTCTCATTTTGCCCACGTAAATTCCTCAGTACTTGATCAATCAGATCTTCTCTCTTTCTCCCTGCCTCAAGATCTGGGATACAGCTGGTACAGAAAGATTCCAGGCCCTGGGAACGGCCCTTTATCGGGGCTCCGACTGCTGCCTGCTCGTCTTTGATGTCACCTCCCTCTATTCTTTTCAAGCCCTCGAGAAGTGGCACAAGCAGCTCTTGTTGCAGATTGAGCCAGAGGAAGAACCCACTTTTCCCATTGCCATTATTGGAAACAAGACTGACCTGGAGAACCGTGAGGTACATACCGAACACACGGAGAGGATAGATTGCAGCGTCTGTGCAAGAACTCCTGCAGCATCCAACTTAAGAATGAAGGGGTGTTTTAAAGATTAGGAACGGGGACTTGTGTATAGTGCTCCTACGGAGTCTTGAATGAAGAATCTGGATTGGTTTTGATGGCAGAGGATGCAGAGACAGAACCTAAGGGGGAGGTTTTACATTTGTAGGTTCTATTTTTAGTTTAAGGTTGCAGACAGGATAGGGAAGAGGGCAAAGTATGAAGGTGTCCTGTCTTTAAGCAGGTTTCTTCAGAGGAAGCTGAAATGTGGAGCAGGCTTCATGATGCTACCTACTTTGAAACCAGTGCCAAGACAGCTGCCAACGTGCAGGAGGTGTTCGAGTGGGCCATACGGGCTGTACTGAAGAACGTAAGGAACGCACTCCCCCCATTTCCAAATTTAAAAGCTTTAAAGCATGGCTATTCCGTTTTATAACTCCTGGATAACCCAACAGTATGCCATCAAAATATGCTAGCAAAATTAATAAGCGGAACAGCTTAAGGCAGTAAGAATGCCTCTTTAGGCTGAAAAAAATATTGATACTATTAAATAATATGCTGCCTCCAGCCACAATAGGTACTACCTATTCTTTTAAGACCACATTCTTTGTGGTAAGAAGCAATACCTACATCAAAGCAGTGCTCTTTTCTCACTTGTGCTGATCACCTTGTTTCATTTCAGCGCAGGGTACCTGAAGAGCCAGAGCTCAACTCTGTTCACCTAGAGACCAAGCCGTCAGAAGGGACACACCGGGAAAGGTGTGGCTGCTGATGAGCCCAAATGCAGATGGGAAGATTTACTTTTCACTGCAGATCTTTGACATGATGCAATGAAGAAGAACAGGAAGTTACCCCATAGTGAAGTAACAAGATTCTGCCAACCCTGCAGCCTGGACTTTGGTAGTTGGATCCCATAAGATTTGTGGCCTTCTGGAAGAGAGCCTTATAATGACCTAGATTGGGTGTTGAATAGTCTTCAAACATATGGAAATAAACCTCAATCTGATACTTTTCAGTGACAGAAAATGGGCATCATTTAGTCCTTTCTCAAAGTGAAACGGCTATAGAAAACTTGATCACAAACACTTTGAAGGGAGAAGATGAGGGAAAGAGTTCTTTTTCCAAACATCAAGTCTTGTTTCCAAAAAAAAGTCTTTAATTGTTCAAAATAGCACAAAAACGACAGATACGCAGCACTGGGGGGGGGGGGGGGGGGGGGGGGGGAGAGGTCAGGGTGGATAGCCAGGGTAAACTCCTATGAGGGCTGTTCCTGTCTCAGTGGAAAATAAATCGGGTCAAATATAGGAAGGACAGAAGGAATCTTAAGGACTGAACAGGAAAGTGGGACACAGCGAAATATACTATAATACAAAAGACCAGGGCACAGAGCAAGGGAGGGAGGTTTGCTCATTGGGGGTATTTTCTGAGGGCTAGTTTGTCTACCAATCTCAACACAGCAAACGGTGCACGTGGGGGGGAGGCGTTTCTTCTGTACTCCATAGAGCTCCCCTAACTCCACAGAGTAAGCCCTGTTGCTTCCCCCACCCTCCCCTATGTGGAATGTCCCAAGACAACCAGTGGGGGAAAGAGGGGAGGGAGCATATATTTCTCTACAGAGAGAAACCTAAACTCCTACCCCATGTAGTGGAGAGTTGTATGTCAAGAATATTGCCCTCCAGCCTTGCTCTGACCTAAAAGCCTCTGGTGGATCAGCTACATTCTCCCCCCCCCCCCCCAAAGCATTTTTTTTCTTAAAAAAAGTTTTATACAAAACAATGGAGAGGAATGGCAAGACACCTGCCTATAGCATGCCACCTTGTGGCCTGGAGGCAGGAAGAGCAAAGAGAGAGAACAAACCCGGCTTGTGCTGCTAAGGAGGGGCTGTTCCATGTACAGGGGGGGGGGGAAAGGGGGTGGATTCAAGCCACAAACACCCTGCGCTGAGCATTAGAACAGCTGCATGAGCCCCCTTCCCTCCAATGTTCAAAGTAGCTGCATCTGTGGCCAACCATGTCACATCTTCTCCATCCCCACTAGCAGGGACTTCTCTCCATTACCAAACGCAGACACTAAAAACTAAACTGAGGAAGAGGGTCTGTACAGAGGCAAGAACTGGAGGCAGAGAGGTCACGTCTCCGACCCCCAACACACAGGGGTCCAGGGGAATACAAAAGAACTTCATTCCTGTAACTGCAACTTGTAAAAAAACCCAACAGGCCCCCCTCCCCCCATAACAAGTTTTCCCTCAAGCCCACCCCAAACATCAATGTCCATGTTATGGGGGCAGTAAGCAGAGGGTGAGGGAGGAATTCCATTCCTTCTTCCCCCTTCCTAGGTGGGGTATGGCACAGTGATGGCCCTGCTTGGGGCTCCCTCACATGAGCCTCAAGCATCTCTTCTCCCTACCCCACCCCACCCCAACAGTTCATCCCATGGTGTATATGAAATGTGCTTTCGGCAGTTCCATCTTCCTCCATACACAGGGTGACTGGCTGGCTGGGGGAGTTCAGGCAGAGGCTTTGGAGCAGGCAGGAAGAGGGGACGGCTGGTGACTCCCTTCACTGCCCATCTGCTTTGGGCTTCTTTGGAGCACTTTTCCTGGAAGATGCAAAAGAACAGTTAAGGTCCAACCAGGCATGATATTCCGCTCTGAAAAAAAAATCGGGGCCGGCCAAAAGAGACGCGCGCCCGGGGAGCGCCCGCTGCTTTCCCTCGCCAGGGCCGGGCGGTGGCGTGTTGCACGGAGGCTGGTCTGTGGCTGGCCCAGCTCCCTTTTCCTGCCGCTCAGCGGCCTCCGCTCGCACCACCCGGGCTCCGCTCAGGTATCTGGCTGGGGCTGTCAGGAGTTGCTACCGCCGGCGCAGCTCCACGCGGCTCCAGTCCCACGTTGCCTCGGGAAGGGAAAGGCAAAACCAGGAGCCGCTGCTGCCGTTGCAAAGCGCCGCCGCGGCTCTTCCTTTTTGCCTTTCCCTTCCTGAGGCAACGCGGGACTGGAGCCGCGCGGAGTCGCGCCAGCAACTCCTGACTCGGGGCCTCCGAGGGGAGGGGAAGGAGGAGAAGAAGGGGGGGGAAAGGGGGGGGGGGCGATTCCCAAAAAAATCGGAATTCCG